GAGCCGGTAGGAGCGAGAGCCTTAGTTCTGCGTTCCTAACCGGCGGGTGGTAGATAGTGGCAATGAAGGATGCCCAGAGGGAACCTCAGTTCCCGCTGTTGATGTACAAAGAGGTACAGATATCATGCTAGGAGAGTTCAAAGTTTCACCTGTTTCACACCGGCCTTGCACGTAGCAGACCACTTTTTGCAATTATGCAGCGCCTCACTGACTCAAGAGACACCCCCTAGTGGCACCGGTGCGTGCCGAAGGGTGCTGGGTTTGCCTCCCTTCGGGGAGGTTGTGCCTTGTTCACCCTCAGCTGCAGGCTTTTCTCGCTAGGAATTGCCGCCACGGTTTGGCTATTGTCGGGCAACATGCAACTGGCCTTGTATGGGTTGTGCTGCAAGCATGGTCTTTTCCATGGATTGCTGCTCAGATTTTGTCACTCCTGGTCGACATGATTACAACCAGCGCTGGAGCATCGCGAGACATCTGACCTGTGACTTTGTTTTGCCACACTGTGGTGTGGCCGCTGGTCACCAATATTCGGGAAGGAAAGTCCGTTTGAAGCCTTCTGGGCGACTTTCCCTGACCACAGACCTGCGCTGCCGTCCTTTTCTTTCGAGAATTCAGGCCCATTAATTGCCATCAGTTTTTTCCATGCTTCGCCCAAGCTGCAGGCACTGCAAAATCCAACAACGACCTTACAGTAAGAGTATATCAACACCTTGAGGACCAACTCGCCAAAGCAGGCTCTGACACGGAAGACATCTTGGCCCTTACCACCACCCGGGAAGGGGCCACGAACCTGCGCAATTATTTTTCCATGCCGACAAGAAGGCGAATGCAGAGACTGCGGTCAAGGTGGCAGGTGCCACGGCCAAGCACTGCATCGTCATCCACGGAGTGTCAACATTCCTCAGTGGTGAAGAACGCCACCTAGATTACGACCAGGAGTGCTTCACACGAGCGAACATGGCATACAGCCGAGCCACAGATCTTACCATCTTAGCATGCCCCTTGAACATGCAAGGAATGCCCGGGACCCTGCAAGTCTTGGCCGCCCTCTTGCATGGTGTCCAAACAATACATACCTACGACAACAACGAAGAGCCTCACCTTGCTCAGTGTTGCAAAGTTTGACCGCTTTGAGGATCTAGAAGATCAAGTCATGGACTACCTCGCTTCGGTTACTGATCTCAAAGTATTTGGGTGCTCCATCGAGTTTCTTCAAACTGCCACACACACATACCTTGAAGACCCAATCTGGGACAAGTTACAGCAAGGCAGGGAATTTACTATTATCTTTAAGAACTGTAGTGTTGCCCTGCCAGCACAAGAGCAGCTCGGAGGCTGCCCTATTGATCAGGTCCCGCAAGCCGTTTACGTTCCTATCAATCCAGAAGAAATCGTCCCAGAATGGGCCTTTGCAGGGGTCCCGCGCCTGCGACATGTCAGTGTAGAGTCGGGCATCAGGCTCATTGGTGCAGAGGCTTGGCAAAATTGCCGACAGCTTCGCATTGTCAAGCTGCCGGCTAGTGTTGTAGGCATTTCCGATAACGCCTTCTGGGACTGCAAACTACTCAACAGTGTCCTGGCTCCGGGTGTAGGGATTTTGGGTACAAAGCCTTTGCGGAGTGCTGTTCCTTGCAATGGATGTATGCATCGGATGGGATTGCAAACGTTTTCAATAGTGAAGCCAAGTTTGGGCAATACCTCTTCCAAGGGTGCATCAACCTTGCTGAGGTCACCTGGAGTGAGCCTCCTTCCTCCCGAGGGTCAGCACAGCACGTTAGGACCTGTGAGCCAGCACCGGGTTGTCTTAGCTCCACGGGAATCTATACACTTGCTCTCACAAAGCACTTCGCAGCCATCGGAGCGCACGTGTGCGACAGTTGTCGACTGCTCAAGAGTGTAGACCTTTGCAACACCAATGTTGAAGAAATTCCGGAATTCGCCTTTGTGCACTGCATTAGCCTTAGAGAAGTCCTCCTTCCGACAACCCTCCATACAATCCGAGTCAAAGCCTTTATGAACTGTGCAGCCCTAGTTGAGCTTGCCATTCCACCCTCGCTGAGATACATAGGAAGTGGGCCTTCCTAGATTGCACTGTCTTTCGCAGGTAGCCAAGATGCCAGGTAGGCAAAGAGGCGAGGAGCCTACGCTGAAGAGAATGCTTTCGCCATTTGTCCTGTTATGCGATGGCCACCCTGGCCACACATGATCCCGGACATGGGGCTCACCCCTGGTCTTGGATGAAAACAAGCCTTTTTGGCTGCAGCAAGGGCAGTATCGCAGTTACTCGCTAAGAGGCTGGGCACGCGCCTTTGCGTGTGTCCAAGGTAGGTCAACGATCGTGCCAGAACAAATTCCATAGGTACCCTTCCACGGGAGGTTCCAACCTGAATGCCCCTCCAGTCCTCGTCGACAAAAGCCAGTCGTCACAGGGAGGAGACCTGCTCAGACCTGACGTGTGCCGACAATCCCGTGTCTGGAATGGAGGATGAGCTAATCAACAGTGGAGCACGGCAAGCAAGATGCGCAAGCGCTAAGCAACCTCTTCTCGCCATTCGCAATGCAGTGAGCCAATAGGAGTGAGAGCCTTAGCTCTTTGTCCTAACAGGCGGGTGGTAGAGAGTGGCAATGGAGGATGCCCAGAGGGAACCTTAGTTCCCTTTGTTGATGTCCGACATTTCCAATTTTGTACAAAGAGGTACAGATACTGGGGAGGCCCTCCGTGGCGACACCGGTTTTGCTAGTGTTTTTGG